AATAAACCCAGCACTCCTCACTCAGGGCATCGTGGCTCTTACTTTACACACAGTTTTAACCACACGAGTTACGTGGTTTCTTAAGCTTGAGAATGGAAGACCCTGCTCACGTTTCATCTCTCCTGGAACAGTCCGCCATGGAAATCAGTCACTCTCCTTCTCTGTCTCTGCAGCTCTTCAGCTATGCCTCTTCTATGGTAGAAGGTATCCTGTTGTGTTTTATTTGGTTGTTCAGTTAGAGCTCTCTCACTAGACTGTAAAGTCTCCAAGAGTCGGGGGCAGTGGAAAGAGCTTGCTTGGGCCTGAGAGTCAAATAGGTCTGACTTTCATGCCTTATTCCCTGCTGGCTGTGTGACCCAGAGGAAGTGATCCAACCTCTCCGAGCACATGGATCACATCAGAGTCCTCATGATCCTCCTGCCTGTATGTGCGTGCTTACTTAGTCACTCAGTCGTGTCCGACTCTCTGCGACCCCATGGACTGTAGCCCGCCAGGCTCCTGTGTCCATGAGATATCCCAGGCAAGAATACTGGAGTGGATTGCCATTTCCTTCTTCAGGGGATCTTCCCGACCCAGGGGTCGAACCCAGGTCTCCTGAATTGCAGGCGGATGCTTTACCGCTGAGCCACCAGGGAAGCCCCTCCCCGAGCAGAGCCCACGTCTGCTTATCTCTGTATCCCTAGTCCCTGACCCACAGCGGTGCTGAGCCCTTGTGGGACAGAGGAAGTGCCAGGCGGCCGTGAGTGCAGCAAGTTATTAGGTTGCAGGGGAGGAGTTTGCTGCTAGAAGTGTGCAGCGCTGAAGCCAAGAGACAAAACAGGAAAGTAAGATTCAAGGAGCGGACACGGGCAGCGGTCCAGGGCTCCTTAGCAAAGGGGCAACAGAGGGAAGCACAGTCACACCACCACCCGGGAGCCAGCCTGCGGGAACTGCCAGCCCCGCGGTCCCTGCGCCAGGGGAGTGCTTGTCTACAGTCTGTGCGACTTAACCTGTGTTTTAAAAAGCAAAAGCCTGGGAAGGAAAGGAAGTCGCTGGGTTGACTAAATAATATGTTTGCCACATAGACGTTCTACTGTTTGTCAAATAGGAGCCGTTGCGATCAGCAAAATATCAATTCACGTAAAAAGAGGAAAACAGAGTCAAGGGCGAGTTACTTACACCTGAAATGTTTAAAATAAAAGAGACTGTCAGCACGAGAAGGGGAGGACGTTAGGAGCTGGGTAGGCACTCGAATGGAAGTACTCCTTCTCCGGAGACGCTGGTGAAAGTCTGTCTCTCTGCCCGACAGGAGAGACACGTGTTTTCTTCCTGCTCTCTGTCAACAGACAGAAAGGAATTGGGCACATTATATGGGGACAAGCAAGGAGTATCGTGAGGACATGAGACAGGATGAGTGTAGGGGGGGGAGTGTGTCATCTTTTTTTCCCTTTAATCAAGAAAGGCTTCCTGGAGGAGGCAAGATCCGGGCTGTTTGGTCCAGGCCCTCCCCACCACCCCGCCTGGCCTCTCCCCAGCGCTCACACTCACGCGGCCGCTTCACTGGCAGCCTCTGTGCTCAGGGTTCGGCCAGATGCACAGATGGTGGCCGCCCTTTCCGCACGATCCCAGGGCCTCTCGACACCAGCCGGTCGTACAGGGAGTCCTCAGAACAAAAGGACTTCCAGGTAACAGGACTGGAGCCAGCGCGCCGCTGATAGGATCAGAAGCCTCAAGCGAACGGTGGCCCAGGAGGAAGCCGGGGCCGCAGAGAAGCGCCCACCACCCGCGCTGCTTTTGGCACAGGCGCTGGGGAGGCCGGCCGTGCTCCCCCGCCCCTCCTCACCCTGGCCTGCTCCTCGCTGGTCCCGAGACCAGAAAGGGAGGTGTCAGCCCTGCTGGCAGCTGGACTGGCCACCTCATAGGGTGTAGCCACAGGCTGGAGGCTCCTGCAGTGGGGGCCGTCCGCGCTGAAGCCAAGAGGTCAGGGTGGGGGTTTGTGTCTGCGGCCTGGTATGCGGGGGGGACCCTAGGGTGTTCTCCACCATCTCCAGCCCAGGTGTGGGTGGGTGGTTCAGCAGCACTGCCCACAGTCCTGCACTGGGGGGGCCCCTCGAGGGTCTGGGTCCCCAGGGTCGGGGCGCTGAGATGGAGGTGACTCAGTGTGGAGGAGGGGCCTCGAGCCTGTGAGTCCCGGACTGGGAGGGAGGCTGGTGGGCAGGCACGCCCTTTGGAAGTTGGTGAGGAGCCCAGAGGGGTCAGTCTCGGCCCTCACTCAGCTCTCTGGGCACCCTCCCTGAAGAAAACAGCTGACTCGAGCGAGAGCGTGAGAAAGAGCCCAGGCTCAAATCCAGGTCCCTGTGAGACTGTGCGTGTTTACTAGTGCCTCAGTTTCCCACCCTGTAAAATGGGGATGTGATAGCAGGACTGATTTCATAAGGCTGTTGTGAAGATCAAGCAAGACGGCAGATGCAGCCCCATAGCTCGGGGCATCTCCGCCGCCCGCCCCCCGATACTCCCCGAGCGTAGGACACACCTTCAGAGCCCACAGGGTCAGCGCTGGAGGGAAAATGAAGAGACTTGTAGGCCACCTGCCTGTTTCACAGGCGCAACTGCAAAGGAGATGATCTAGGTTATGGCCCCGGGCTCCACGTCAGACAGCCTGGGGACCGAGTCCTGTGTCTGCAGACCTTTCAGCTGGAAGCTGTAGACCAGTTCTTGGCCCTCTGACCCCCATTTTTCAATATGTGAAGTGGAGATGATTATACTGGATATACTTCATGGGGGCATGTGTGAGGACTGAAATCATGCCTCACACATAAAAGGCGTATCCTGTACTTCATACTAAAATTGGGAGCCAGCACCAGCACCACCATCGCTGTGGTCACTATTATTGTTGTTGAAAACGATGCTGTTGTGAGGAAAGGGAGACTCAGAGAGGGAAAGGGACTTGCCGGGAGACACACAGCAAGTCAGAGGGCAAGACAGGTCCAGCCCTGGCCTCCTGACCCCCAGTCCCCGTTCCTTCTGCTTCCCTCATCACCTCATTGGTCTTTGCTGCCCCTCAGTCCATCCTGCCTAGAGCTTGGTTTCCCCTTGCAAGAGGTCACCCTGAAGCATCTGCGACCTGTCTCTTACTGACCTTGTTGCTTCTGGGCACAGATTTGGGGTCACCACACAGGGGAAGCTGACATCCCCAGAGACAAAGATTCTGGACCACCAGCATGCTGGTAAGGCTGCCTTCTCCCTGTGGTTTCTGTAGTGCCCTTCCAAAAGCCCACAGCTTCCCTGCTGTCCTCAGGGATCCTTGGCCAGGGGAACCCCTGAGGGGATCAGGATGCAGCTTTTGAGGGCTGACTCCTTTGTTCCCCAGTGGCGCCTTAGGGAGGGGAGGGTTGGGAGCCCGACTTCCACCAAAGCTTCCCTGGATGTTGGGGTCAGATCCAGGGTCATCCGCAGGGGGCTCCTGGCTCCTTAGCCGATCTGGGCCACCTCTGCAGGCTTGCCTCTGTCTCCCTACCTCCCAGCCACCAGAGCTCGGCCTTTCCTGGCAGGGAGGGACAGCGCCAAAAGAGGGGGCTGAGGAAGGAGAGGATGGGATTCGCTTTAAGGAGAAAAAGGAGCTATGTGCTTATTTTAATAACATAAATATTACATGAACAGTAATAATTATGATGATTCCCACATATTGAACACTTACTATGCGCCCGACGGGCTTCCCAGGTGGTGCTAGTGGTAAAGAACCCACCTGCTAATACAGGAAATGTAAGAAATGTGGGTTCGATCCCTGGGTCAGGAAGAGCCCCTGGAGGAGGGCGTGGCAACCCACTCCAGTATTCTTGCCTGGAGAGTCCCCATGGACGGAGGAGCCTGGTGGGCTACAGTCCACGGGGTCACAGAGAGTCAGACACGGGTGAAGTGACTTAGTTTGCATATGTGCATGAGGCACCCTGCTGAGACTTTTATACACACACACACACACACACACACATATATATATTATTTGAGTTAATCCTGACTACAGCCATATCAGGTAGAAAATATGATACCCATTTTGTAGATGAGTAAACTAGAGGAGACCTATTTATATGCCATGTGTTAGCTATAGATGGCAAGCAGATGAAATAAAGAAGGATAGACTCAGTGGGATCCTAGTGAGTGCTAAGGACTGTGGCAAATTGGAGACAACTGAAAAATGCAGTTGTTTTTTTAACTGGGTCATGATACACGAAAGGGCTTCCCAGGTGGCGCTAGAGGTAAAGAATCTGCCTGCCAATGCAAGAGACACAGGTTGAATCCCCAGGTTGGGAAGATGCCTGGAGGAGGCCGTGGCATCCCACTCCAGTATTCTTGCCTGGAGAATCCCCTGGACAGAGAAGCCTGGCGGGCTACAGTCCATGGGGTCGCAAAGAGTCGGACACGACTAAAGTGACTGAGCACACAGACATTAAAGTGGGCAGAGAGCACTCATCTTAATTGTACCATCTGACGATTTTTACACTTATTTATACCACCCAAATAAAAACACGTATAGAAAATTCCTAATACTCCAAACACTGCTTCTCAGGCATACAAAGTTTTTTTTTTTTTTTTAATTCTGCAAAAGCTATCACAGCCAAGAGGCACTTAAAGGAAACATGATGACTAAAATATACTGTGATATCCTGGATGGGATCCTGGAAAAGAAACAGGACTGGAGGTGAAAACTAAAGAAATGTGAAACAAGTATGGGCTTTAGTTAATACTAGCATATCAATATTGATTCATTAATTGTGAAAAATGCATGATAGTAAAGTAAACTGTTAATAATAAGGGAAACTGGAAGTGGGGTAGGTGAGAACTCCCTGTACTATTCTTAGCAATTTTTTGGTAAACCTAAAACTGTTCTAAAACAAAAAGTTTATTTAAAATTGAAAAAAAAAAAAAGGCGTTCTGTAGATATTTAAGCAAAATACATCCATGGACTGCGTCTGGCTGCTTTTGAGCTGCCCGTTTGTGACCTCCAGTGGTCTAATGTCCTTACTTTACGGATGAGGAACCTGGGGCCCCCAACACGGAGGGCGCTCGTCCAGGACCCCAAGGGGGGCCAGTGGCAGAGGCTGGTCCATGCTCCCGCTGTAAGGGAGGGGCTTGGGGCGCGGGTGCAGGGCAGCCGGGGTCTCCGGGGGTCCTGAGTCCTGGCCGGGGGCCTGCCCCGCCGGAAGCTGCCAGGTGCCGCCGGCTTCCCTCTGCGGCTTCCTCCTGGGCTGTCCAGGGCTGTCAGTTGGAAACCAGTTTTCCCACTGGCCTCTGCCCCAGAGGGAGTGGTCAGGAGCAGTTCCTGTTCTGGGAGCAGGGTGTCATCTTCCCACTCCCGCCCATCTCCACGCACCTGAGAGGTGTCCCCATGGCCAGCCCGCGGCCTCGGTTGAGTATTGGACGGATGGGTGAGTGAAGACGTGAAGGAGGGAAGAAGTGAACGGCAGGGGTGAGTGGCTGTTTGGGAGAGGGTGGTGGGGGAGAGGGGGCCAGGAGTGCAGACGCTGCAGCCAGATGGCCCGGGTCAGACGCTGGCCCTGCCGCTCCAGCCACAACACCTTGGACAAGTCACTTAACCTGTCTGTGCCTCAAACTTCTCATCAGATGGCGGAGCTGATGGTGGCTCCTGCGCCCTACAAGAGTGCAGAGAGGGTTAAAGGAGTCAAGTGATATACCAGGGGAGGGAGGGGCATGATAAATAGAGGCCAGGAGAGAAGGAAGGGTGGGGGAGGGGTGACGAGTTCGTGTTCATATTGGACGTGGAACCCTGGACGAAGCCATGGGACTGGCCACTGACCCAGAGAAGAGGTTGGGTGGCTTCACATGGTGATCAGAGCACAGATTCGCAAGCCGGTCTACCGGGAGTCCAGGCCCAAGGCCCGCCCTTATTATATAGCCATGTAGCCTTGGGCAGGAGCATTAACCTCTGTGTGCGCCCGTATCTTCATCTGTAAAACAGGTGTGATTACTGCAGTACTTGTTTCATGAGATTGTCATGAGAATTAAGTAGTTGTCTGGTTATGTGTGCACCCCCTGGGACTGTACGTGGTGTGTTTAAAGCAACCGCGGGCATATAGTGTTAGCTGCTCGGTTGTGTCCGATTCTTTGCGACCCCATGGGCTGTAGCTCCCCCAGGCTCCTCTGTCCCTGCGATTCTCCAGGCAAGTGTACTGGAGTGGGTTGCCATTCCCTTCTCCAGGGGATCTTCCTGACCCAGGGATCAAACCCAGGTCTCCTGCATTGCGGGAGAATTCTTTACCATCTGAGCCACCAGGGAAGCCCCTGGCATGTGACCAGCGTTTGTTAAATAACTGGGAGAGGTTTTATACCGGAAACCCACTCCCTTCTCTGGAGGGCCTTGACCCACACAAGAGATGGAGCTCCGGCCTTGTGAACTCTCTTACCTCCTGAATCCAGGCAGGCAACTGCCCCTCACAAAGCCAGACAGGGTGAGGGCCGACGCTGACCAGCTTCCCGTCGCTATGGCCTCCACCCACTCCGGCCAACCCCGGGGTGAGCAATGCCTGCCATGGTTTCAGAGAAGCCAGAAATCTGGATTCTACGCACAAGTCCCCAATTTTTAAACACTGGCACTTGGTTCAACTTTATTTTAAGCTCTGAGCCAAACAAACACATGTATTTTAAGCTGGCTGCTCTCCTGAGCGGCTGGTTTGCAGCTTCCACCCCAGTCTAGCCCTGCCAGCTGGCGTTCTTCTATTATTTTTGCCCTGTGTTTTAGAGAATAGGAAACTGAGGCACGGGGAGACACACCTGGACTTGTGTATCTGACTACTCGGTGGGGGCCACAGGCAGTTTCCTCATTCCCTTCTCCTGACTGCAAGCAATGCGGGACTCCCCAGGGACTCCACCAGGCTTTGCAGCAGGTGAGGGAGCGGAACTCTGGAGAGAATTTGCCCCCGGCCTGAGCTCTTCCAGGGGCATGTTTGAACTCTGATGTCTGCTGACCACAGGCCAGCTGAGCCATGCCTTCAGGAGCAGCTGATACGAAGCAGAGTTTCCCGATTTCCAAAGCCATCGCAAAGACTAGGGATGCCGGGACCCCCATCTTTGCTTCCAGCACTGGCCCAGCAGACGGGAGGCGCGATTCCAAGGGGTTCCTGACCCTCAGGCTTTGGGAAAGAGCTAGCAATATACTCTTCAGTAAAGAAAGTTGCTCAATGAGAACACAAGGAGTCGAGGAAAGAGCCGGGGCACGTTCTAAAGTCTTGGAGAGGTGTTTTTTTTTTTTTTTTTGCAGTTGATTTGCAGGCCTGTTATACTCTGAGCTTGAGCCATTTTTTTTTTCTTTTCTGTTAAAAACCTGCTCTTTGGTTCCCACTTACTTAACCTGTCTGTGCCTCCATTCCCTTGGCTGTAAAATGGGGATAAACGTCGTCCTGACCTCTTGCAGCTTGTGATGAGAATGCAACGAGACAGCACCTGCAGAGGATTAAGCGGTAGAAGCCAGTGAGGTTGTCGCTGTCAGCCACGGCCCACTGGCCCGTCTGCCCAGGTGGTGGCCAGAGGAGCTGTCGCTCTCGGCCTTCCTGCACCCCGACTCTCGATGCATTTGCGGTCTTGGCTTTGTCTGGAGAGTTAAATGCACCCACCCACTGTGGAGCGCCTCTCGTGGGTCAGCTTCTACGCCAGACCCTCCCCCCTGTTTCGTCTTCCTTACCTCTCAGAGCAGCCCTGGGAAGCCAACAGCACCACCGTCTTTGCAGATGAAGAACCTGAGGCTCTGGGAGGTCACCCCCACGTGGGAACCTGACTCCGAGCATGCCCCGTTACGTGCCTGAGCCTCCAGCTTCCTCGTCTGTAAAAGGAGGTTCCAGACACCCATCCCAGCGCTGCTGTGAGGATCGGTGAGGTCACGGCTTGGAGGGTGCACTGCCAGCTGCGAATCCAAGGCAGACAGGCAGCAGTGGTGTGAGTCCTGCAGAGGCCTGATCCCCATTCAGGATTCAGGGCGTTTGGGCAGCAAAAGCTTCGGAGGGGAGTTATTCCAAGTGTCTTTCCTTGGGTAGGTTCCAAAACACGTCTCCTCTCTCCATCTGACAAGTGCAGAGCTGGCCTCAGCAGAGGCTACGCCTAAAGCAAGCAGCTTCCAGTGCAGTGACCTGGGAGGCGAAAGGAGGTGGACATGATGGCCGCAGGGCGGACAGGGTCATGCAGAAGGTCTCAGGACTATGGCATCATGTGGACGTGGGATCAAATCCTGGCTCTTCCACTTCCTAGCTGGGCAACCTTGAACCTGCTAGCTAAGCCCTCTGAGCCTCACGCAGAGGATGGTTACGATGGGGGAGCTGAGCCTGGGTGCTGACAAGCACAGCACGAGGATCCACTGACATCCCATGAGACAAGTACCAGGTCCAAGGCTCGGGCAGCAGACCTTACGGGGGATGGAGTGGGGAGCAGGATAGAAATCAGCCACGGGGCCAGGATGGGCAGAAGGGTCGCTCCTGAAGCCAGGAAGGGAAGACGGCTCAAGCAGGATTTAGCAGGACACACACCCTGGGAGGGAACGCCAGCCAAGTAGGGCTTAGCAGGGCATGCACACTGGCCCACGAGTAGCTGCAGGGCAGGCGCTCTTTGTCCCAGTGGCCTGGCTCCCAACCAGAACACAGACTAGATTTTACAAACTTAATTACGCATCCGGTTTCCTTTCTGCCTCAAACCCGCCCATGCAATTCCCGGAGTCGTGCCATCTCCAGCCCCATTACCGGCCTATGTGAAGTGTGGAAGCACACAGGTTCCGGTGTCAGACAGATGGGGGTTCAGATCCACACTCTGCCCCTTCTGGCTGAGTAGACCTTCCGTTTCCTCTTCCATCGGTGGGCTGGTCCTGTCCCTCCCGCCGGCAGGGTTCGCATAGGAGAGGCTGTGTAGGAAAGCACCTCGCGAGGTCCCTGACACGCAGTTATCATTACGACAGTGGCAGTGGGCAGTGCTGCTGCTCCTTCCGGGCGTAGCAGCTGGCTACTCTGTTTTTACGCAGCGTAAGCACAGAGCCCCAGGGCGTTCGCGATTTGTCACTGCATCTCAGATGACACAGCGCAAGCACCTAGGCTGGACAGGTCAGTGAAGAAGTGTCACCCCTGTTCCCACCGCCTCTTTACACAGTTTCCACGCTGCTCCGATGTTGATTGGATGTGGTGGGCTTAACAAGGTCCATAAAACACCTCGAAAATGAGCGTCAGAGAGCAGATCACTGGAGACCAGGAGATAAACCACCCTCGGGGTCTAAAACACACATCCGCAAGGGCCAACAGCATCCTCTGGCCGTGGCAATGTGAGAGTTCATCAGTGTCTGTGAACGTCCTCAGGCTGCGAGGTCATGAGTGTGGGCTTTGTGGTCCCAGATCCGACGTCTTACTCTTGAGGATGGTCTGGAAACCCTGCAGCATTGCTCAGCTGACTCTTGATGGGTGCTTCTCCGGCACGTCCTGGTCAGGCTACATTCCTGAAAGGTGGCACTGGCTCTGCTTCCCAAGGCAGGAAGCCCATGGAGCCGTGGCCAGTGGGGGCTGGACCCAGAGAGGGACCCTGTACCCATATGGGATGTGTGTGCCCTTGAAGCCTGAAGCTGGCAAGGGTCTTGGGCCAGACCCTGTGTGTGCCTGGCTCACGAGCACTTACCCTACATGCAGTGCAGACCCTGTTCTACAAGCCTCTCCCTTAGAACTGGGGACAGGTTTTGCCCTGTTATTAGCTGGGAAATCCTGCCTTAACACCTGTCACTGTTTGGAGGAGCCCCGTGGCCACCGGCAAGGGCCTCAAAGAGACTATCTGCAGCCCTGGGCCCTGCTGCTACCCCCTGAGCCCCTGGTGATGTGTTACTTGGAAAAGTCACCACACAGCTTGGTCCAACGTAATCACACCTTAGCTGGTATCAGGTTCCATCAGTTCAATTCAGTTCAGTCACTCAGTCATGTCTGACTCTTTGCAACCCCATGAACTGCAGCACGCCAGGCCTCCCTGTCCCTCACCAACTCCCGGAGCTTGCTCAAACTCATGTTCATTGAGTCGGTGATGCCATCCAACCATCTCATCCTCTGCCGTCCCCTTCTCCTGCTGCCTTCAGTCTTTCCCAGCTTCAGGGTCTTTTCCAGGGAGTCAGCTCTTCGCATCAGGGGGCCAAAGGACTGGAGCTTCAGCCTCAGCACCAGTCACAGGCGATAATCATTCTGCAGCCATCACTTCTGGGCTCCCCTGGTGGCTCAGACAGGAAAGAATCCGCCTGCAGTGTGGGAGACCGGGGTTTGGTCCCTGGGCCAAGAAGATCCCCTGGAGATGGAAATGGCAACCCACTCCAGTATTCTTGGCGGGGGGATTCCATGGACAGAGGAGCCTGGCGGGCTGCAGTCCATGGGGTTGCAAAAGAGACACGACTGAGGAACGAGTGCTTTCCACTTCACTTTCAGTCCCAGCATAAGGCACAGCCCCTACCCGACTCTTGGCCCCTCCAGCCCATCTCTTTCTGTGTGTTACTTGGGTTTCTCTCCATTCACCTCCCATGGGCATCCAGGGGCTCACCCGACCCTCATCACCTACACAGCTGGGCATCCGAGCTTACAGCTGCACCCCCCCCCCCCCGGCCCCGGCCCTCACTGCCTGCTCCAGCCCTGGCTTCCGCACCCAGCCTCTCCCTCTGGGCCCCCGAGCTAATTACAGGCTTCCCTCGATCATTCTAAGGGAAAGCTAATTAAATCAGGGTCGGCCATCAATTTCCCAGCTAAGGACAAGCAACCCGAGCCCCCTCCTCCCTTCCAGGATTCCACAGACTCTGATTCTGATCTGACGCCGCTCCATGGCAGCGGCTTTTTAGCTTGGGTCTGAGGACAGGGCTCACCTCTCAGGGCTGATGTGAGGGTGAGCAGCAGGACAGTGCACCTCCCCCTTTGCTCCTCTGCACCGGGTCAGCGCCATGGCGGGAGCAGGTGGGGGGGCCTGAAGACGGGGGTGCAGCCAGAGCTGAGGAGGCGAGGCGGGTGGCAGTGTCTCAGGGTCACATAAAGCGGCCGCTGTGGAGCAGGGACGGAACCGATGTCTGTGAAATGAAGGGGTGACTGCGGGGCACCTGGCCCCGTGCCGCTTCCAGAGCAAACACAGAATGATAATCGTCCTCTTGTCCTTCCTGGAAAACCCTCGTTTGTAACTGTACATACTCATGGGGAAAGGTGGCTAGGCCCCTCAAACCTTGGTGTGAATACACTTATTGCGCTTGTTCCCCCTTTGACATGAGACGGTGAGAGAGGGTAGGGGTGGGTAGTGACTGTAGGGCCGGAACTCAGGGGTCCTCTGCCGTCGCGTGAGCTTCCTGTATCTGGGCCTCAGCATCCCCTCCGTAGAGAGGGCCCCTGGACTCAAGTCCCACCTGTGATCCCCGGCCCCATCCTGCTTTGTCCCCCAGTTAGCCATGTCCTCCTAACCTCTCAGGGCCCCAGTGTCCAGGACCAGTGCATGGCCATCATTATTTGTTTACTCAGTGGCCACTTGGCTGCCGACAGTGGGGGGCATGCTCAGCTAACTCAAGAGACCCCAAAGGCAGGTAACGCATGGGGCTAAGGACCCACGTCACGTGCCAAGCTCAGCAGAGTGCTGGGAGACACAGGCTCTGGAGTCGGGTTTGAATACCAGCGAGCTGTGTGACCTCGGGCAAGTTACCTAACCTTTCTGTGCCTCCGTTTCCTCCTCTGCAAAATGGGCATGATAGAGTAATGTCCCACACGGGGTTGTCGTAAAGACTCTAGGTGAGTTCACTGAATCCTCATCAAAGCCCAGCCTGGCCCCTATGATGGCGCCCGTTTTACAGATGAGGGTCGGGGAGGAGGAACTCCCTGGCCCCGGTCGCCCACAGTGAGGTCCCAGCTCCATGGCTCTGTCCAAAGGGGGAAGGCCTGACAGTGCCTGTCGGGACGGGCAGGGCTGGGGCAGGACAGAGGTGCCGAGAGAGGAGCCCAGCCTCCCTCAGAGGCACAAGCCGCGTCCAGAGGTGGCTATAAATACGAGAGGCGAGGGGCTTTCTAACTAGGCCAGGAATGTGTGCTAATCATTGAGGTCACCCGGGCCGCGGCAGCTCTCTTCTGGAAAAAGGTGTTTCCAGGAGTGTGTTGTCCCCATGAGTGTGTCCCCGAGAGCGGAGGACGGGGAGGGCAACAGGTGTGCCCAGAGAGGGGCTTGCTGGCACCCGGGTTGTCATGCGGCGGGGCCGACCCCCGGAACGCCTCTCCTCCCTCTTGTGATCCCCCAAAACCCTCCTGTAACTCAGATCAGATCGACGGCCTCAAACCCTCCCACCGGCCGAGGTCACAGCTGCGGTTCACCAAGGGCAGGCCCAGGCTGCTTTCTGGGGAGTGAGTGCTTAGTTTATTGTGTTTGGGGAAAAACACAAGTGGCCAAGCAAAGTCATGATCTCATGGCTGGGAATGCCTAAGGTTATAGTGAGAAGGTGTATGTATCTGTTTGTCAGCTGTGTCGATTCTTTGTGACCCCATGGACTGTAGCCTGCCAGGCTCCTCTGTCCTGGGATTCCCCAGGCAAGAATAGTGGAGTTGGTTGCCATTCCTTTCTCCAGGTGATCTTCCTGACCCAGGGATCAAACCAAGGTCTCCTGCACTGCAGGCAGATTCTTTCCCATCTGATCCACCAGGGAAGCCCAAGAAGTTGTATACTTTTTTAAAAGGGAGTTGATTTAAAGAAGAATGTGAAGTGTGTGCTATACCCATGGAGCTGGCAAGCATCATTCCTGACAGGTGCAGGCTTCTGGTCCTCAGGCAGACTGCTAACCTCCCCCACCCCGCAGTGGGGTTCCAGTGGTCTCTGCCAGTCTCACCCCACAGCCCAGCCCTGCCCTCCCCAAACATCCCAGGCACTTGCACCCGGCCCCACCTCCAGTCTCACTGGACCTGCTGCCTGGAGGCCTCTCCCACCCACTTTTCCCGGCAAGGACCCGGAGAAATGAGGTCTTGCTTGAAACCTCCCCCAGGCTGCTGTCGGCCCTTGTCCATCCACAGCCATTCCCTGCCTGTGTGAGCGTCACCGTGGCTGGGACCATGGCTCCCCCAGTGATGGGGAAAGCAGACTCTCAGGGGTTTCTGTCCTACCTGCTCTGCCCAGCTGACTGCCTGGAGCCGACCCAGGAGGGAGACACAGGTCACATCCTGCAGCCATCAGGGCCTGGTGCCTGTCTGAGCGTATGCACCCTCACCCGTCAGGTGGGGACACCAACTTCCCTTCTCCCGCTGGGAGTCAGTGAGTGCCCTCCATCTAAGGGCACATGCCTGCCACGTCGCCTCCACTCCACAAACACTGCCCTGATTATTAGCATCTTCAGCACCATTGACATCACCAGGGGCCGATGGATATTCAGGAAGGGAGTCCACGGTGGTACAGGGTGGAAGGTAAGGAAACAGGAAGAGGGTATCTTTGTACTTAGGATTGGGGCTTTCCAGGTGGCATTAGTGGTAAAGAACCCACCTGCCAATGCAGGTAGACATAAGAGATATGTGTTCGATCCCTGGGTTGGGAAGGTCCTCTGGAGGAGGGCATGGCAACCCACTCCAGTCTTTTTGCCTTGGAGAATCCCATGGACAGAGGAGCCTGGCGCGCTTCAGTCCATACGTCCATACAGAGTCGGACCCAACTGAAGTGACTTAGCACGTATGCACTTAGGATCAGGAGAAAGTCCTCAGCACTTACTGACTCCGCCCTTCTTGTTTTGAACACGGGCAAACTGAGACCCTAGAACCAGGGCCCAGTCTCCTGCTACTACTCCACCGCCATCTCCCTCGTCAGGCCTGGGGAAGGCAGTGACTACAGCCAGACGGGCTCACCTGCCCAGTGAGATACCGCGGGCCTCCGGAGCTGCCCAGCATGACCCAGGGAGGAATTCCAGGGTCTGCAGCAGCAGGATTTTCACTTTACCTGGGCAGTGAATCGAAAGCCTCCTTCGATAGGTAGGAGCAGATGTGACCTTTGTCATTTGTTATTTTTAGCTGAGCAGGCAGGGAATGATAAAAACCTGTACGGGAGCTGACTATAAATAACCTGCCTGTGACGTGTTTTTTGTTGGGTTTTTTTTTCCTTAACACATCTAAAAATTGTAGATCTCAACAAGCATTTCCCTTCAAAGCAAAATCATAGCGTTAGCATGGCGCTTTACAACCAGGGCTGGCCTCACCCCATCTATGGCTGGGGATCACAGCGAAAGTCCCTGGGGCAGACACTTCTCTCCTCCCCATCCTGCAGATGAGGAGACAAGAATGAGCCGGGCCAGGGGAGCCATGGGCATGTGCCTGACCCATGACAAGAGCCTGATTTGTATCACCGCCCTTGGCAAGGGGTCTCCAAGAGGCCGAGTAGCTTGTTCTTGGTCACAGGGGGAAAAGGGTCAGGGCCAGAACCACGTCGGGGCCACCTGGCTCCAGACGCAGAAGTTCACTGGCTGCTAGTGGGCCTCATGGGGCTGGAGGAAGAAGAAGTGGTCATGCAGGGATCAGAGGAGTGGGTGCCGGGCGTCATGGAATGAAAATTCTGAGCGAGAAGGTGGTGGCCAGGGGTGCTGGAGGCCGAGAAGAGGGCTGTGAAGGTTCAGAAAAGGTGGCAAGGAAGAGAGAAGGTAACTGGCTGCCAGCCGCACAGGGCCGGACCTCACCAGGCTCCCCTCATCTGACACTGAGTTCCCTTTGGGTGGAGCGGCCATCCTCGGCCAGCCCTGAGGCAGAGGGAGACTCAAGAGCGGGTTGCCGGCACTGGGGTGTGCGAGGGCGGCCGGGTGGTGGGGCAGGAGCAGGTGGGAGGGAACCAGGGCAGAGGGGGTCCCGAGACCCCAAAGGAAGGCACTGGAGGCAAGCAGTGTGGTGTCCTGGCCTGGGCTTGGGGTGAACTGGGGAGCATTCTAGACCAGCTCAGAGGGAGGCAGGTGCCCTGCTGTGCAGAGTTTGCTGGTGTCTGTGGGGCAGATGCAGATTGCAGGCCACCAGCAAGAGGTGGCCATACACACGCTCGGTCCATGAGCCAGTCCCAGGGACCCCAGAGCACCCTGGGCAAGACTGCTCCATGCCAACCTGCAGGGTGAGACACGTATGCCCCGCTTGCTTCAAGGAAAGAGAGGCGGCCTTGTGCACCCTTTTCAGCTACTGTTAACCGTGGACAGGTGATGTGTTTTACACGCAGTATCTCAGTGAATTCTCAGCACAATCCTCTGAGCTTGACATTATCTCTATCCTCCCGATAGAGAAATTGGGGCTCAGAGAGGTGAAGTGACTTGCCCAAAGTCACAAAGCCAGTGAGTTATGGTGTCTGGGTTTGAAGCCAGGGATGTGTGAGTTCAGAGCCCACACCCCAGCCAGAAACCGCTCGGCCTCCAGCCCCCAGGGTTGCTCTGGGAGCTGAGTAGGGGCTGGATTTTCAGGCAGGAGATTATGGGGTTCCTGTGTGGGGCTGACAGCTGAGAGTCCTAACCAAGGCCCAGAGGAGATGGTTACTACCCTTGGGGTCGTGTCCTGGGACAGGACCACCCCTTGGCGGAGGTCCTGAGAGGTTGGAGACAGCCCCACGTGGGTGGGGCGCTAACTAACCCTCACTAAGGCAGAGGTACCACTCAGCCCCCAGAACTTCCCAGACCCCCCTCCCTGCTTCCTTCCTTTCCATCTGCCCCAGAAGGCAGTCTTCATACCAGCAGACACGTAGTATGTGCTCAATTCGTGCTGAAGAAGTAAACCAATGATACCTTCAGGTTCTCTCTCATGTTGTTTGAAATCAAACACCAGATTTCCTGTGGCCTGAAATTGTTATCACCTTGCAGGAAAGAGGCAGAGAAGCAAGCCAGGCTTTGCTGAGCACCTACTATGTGCCACAAGCATACATGTTAGTCATTCACGCTTCCTGACACTCTCACAATTGCAAGAATTAGTATTCCCATTTCACAGGTGTAGAAACTGAGGTTCAGATTGGTCAAATGATTAACTCAAAGCTACCCACCAGTAAGTGGAAGTGCTGGGGTTCAATCCCATGTCTTTGATCCCCAAGCCTCTGATCCACTCTTCTCTGCTGTGCTGTGACCACCCCCCCAAGAAAGAAACAGCATCCCTTGTCCAAGAAGTTGCTTACAGTTTGTCAAGACAGGTCTATTTTCTTTTTGTATTTTTCTTCATGGCAAACTGGCCCCTGGGGTTAGCAGGGCAGGAGGCTGGGGGGGTGGGGGGCGGGGAGGGCGGGCTCAGGAGGTCGGAATGCCCCCTGGGCCACGGCAGTTAGTCCCACCTCGGCCAGCTTCTGGTCCAGGGCTCACTGCACCTGCCGGGGAAGCCTGTCGGTGGCCCTGGAGTGAGACGTTGGCCCAGCCTGGAGGGCAGTCCCGTCCACAGAGGCCCACGGACGCAGGGTGTCTGGGGAGGGCGGCCTGGTCCCTGTGCAGGTGCTCTCGGACCCCTATCTGATGAAGGCGGATGTGGGTCAGGTGGCCTGACAAGATGACAGGAGAGATTTCTTACAGGGTTAGAGGCTGCCCCAGAGACAGCATGGGCTCAGCTGCAGGGTGTCTGAGGCAGCCGGCTGCCTGCCTAGGCCTGCAGCTGCCCCCCTGTAAAATGGAAGGGCAGGCTGATGGAGGGGCAGGTCCCAAAGAGAACCCCCTCCGGGAGAAAGTGGGATGCCCCTGTGGGGACGGCTTTGGAGGCCATCAGCCCACCTCCCTTTTCATCCCACCTCTGACTCCACACAGCTCACTTCCACCCTGCTCCCTTGGGCCACTTGCTAGACACGCCTCGCTGCGCCCAAGCATCCCTCAGACCTCTAGCAGGGCAGGAAGACGTCTGAGTTCAAATCCCAGTGCCACTTACTGAACAACCTTGGCCAAGGTCCCTGACCTCTCTGTGCCTCAGTTTTTATCATCTGTAAAATGGGGACAATAGTCAGAACTATGCTGAAGAGTGGGAATTAAACGAGCCCAAACATGAACATTTCTTAGGACAAATATACCCAGTGTTTAGTAATCATTGTTTGGCCAATGCCACCTCATTCTTACAATTTATGACTCGGTTATACTGTCTTTTCTGCCCAGCAGGGCAACCATCAGGGCCCCAGAGGAAGCACTGGACTGAGAGTACTGAGCCCACAGCTCCCATCTCAGTCGCCCATGACCCTGGGGATGAGGGCCCCCCTTCACCTCTCCTGGTCTGGCTCTCCTCCTGTCGGGTGGCTCCCCTCCCCTCCCAGCACACGTGGGAGTCTGCATGTGTCTGTTGGATGTGTTCGTCCTCCTGGTCGATGCTAGTGTGTCCCTGGCCCAGGGTCTGCCCTGGTTCCGATTTGTTGAATGAACACGTCCCTGGGGAAGGTGGGTGATTCGGTGTGGCTATACCAGGACACTGTGCAATTCTCTCCAGCAACAGGCCCTTGCCATGGACCTGATGTTCCTCATCCCATTTAATTAATTCTTCAAACCTAGGGTCCCTCTTATTCCCAGCTTCTAAGATGGGAAAGGGCTCATCTGCTTCAGTCCCCCTTTGCATCCAAAGGCAGCGAGGAAGTGCCAGAATATTGGAGTGGGTAGCCTTTCCCTTCTCCAGGGGATCTCCCTGACCCAGGAATCAAACCCAGGTGTCTCGCATTGCAGGTGGATTCTTTACCAGCTGAGCCACAAGAGAAGTCCCTTTCAAAGGTCCCCTCCTATTCCCAGCATTCTATAACTGGTCCACAAGCCCTACCCGCCCCCTAAGCCCCTCGCCTACTCTCCCCTGCTAGTCTTCCAGCTGCCTTTGTACCCTTGAGAATGTCTAAACCCTTTCCAGCCTCAGGGCCTTTGCACATGCCATCTCCCTTGCCAGAAACACCACTTTTTACCTAGTGAACTCCCGCTCAGTCGCCACCCACTCAGGGAGACCTTTTCCTTTCACCTAGTGAACTGCTCAGTCGCCACCCCCTCAGGGAGACCTTCTCCAGCTCCTCCCTCACTCCCGGAGACATTCCTGCCTAAGGTGCTCACAGCCTCTGCTCCTTCACGCAGACCCCTTTTTAAATGCAGGTCAGTTTCATTTGGTCCTTTCATTTGACGGCTGTCTAAACCCTCCTGAGAGTGGATACCGTGGGCTTTTCTGTTCACTGCTGTATCCTCAGCACCTAGCAAGGAGCTTGACAAGTGGGGGGCATCAGCAGATCTTTGTTGAACAAATGAGCGGTCAGAGAGGCAGGAAGCAGATAGTGCTGTGTGCCTATTTTACAGATGAGGAGCCTGAGAGGCCAGAGAGATTGGCGGGGGGGGGGGGGGGGATTTGCCCAAAGTCACAGAGCCCATCAGGGTGGAGCAGGATTGGGGCTAGTCCACTGGGCTCAAGTGCCCAAACTCGATGTACCCAGCCCTACTTCCTTGACGCCTTTGGGAGCAAAGGGGGACTGAAGCAGATGAGCCCCTTCCCATCTTAGAAGCTGGGGGCTTGAGTGACAGGTCAAGAGCAGGGGCTTCCATTCTGCTGATAGTCCTGGCAGCTTGGAAAGCGCCTAAGGGGTGGACCCCCAAGCCCACCCCCCTTCCCCGAGCCTTCCAGAAGAGCTCTGAGTTCTGACTCTGGCTCCAGCTGTTGAGTCCTGGACTTGTCCCCACACTCCCCATTCTCCAGGTCTTAGCGTTCTCACCAGGAAACCAGAGCGATCCTCCGCACATAGCAGGCTGGCTGTGGGTGCCGAGACCACGCATCGGCACAAAGGGGAATGCTAAGCACAGCCCATGTGGCCCCTGCAGCCGTCCTTCCATGGTGACGAGCCGCGGCCACAGGCATGGCCACGCTTCTCACCGGTCACAGCCCCAGCTCTGTGTACAGTTTCCCTGCCTCTCAGCAGGCAGGCCTCCCAGCCTGGAGCATCTCAGTTGCCACCCCTCTGACCTTGTCCTTTTTCCCTGCTGGGTCCCTGCAGCCTCCTGGGTGGGAGGCCGTCCGCAGAGGTCGCAGACAGCGCTCAGTCCGAAAGCTCGATCCTGTTCCACACAGTTGTGTCCCCTTAAGCGAGCAACTCACCCGCTCTGGGCTTCTTCTTCTCCTCTAAACTGAGGCCTGAGAACACGAAATTCCCCTGGGGTGGTGATGAGGAGTAACATGGTGGCTCTTGTGTTAAGTGCCTGCAACATAGTAGGAGCTCGGCAAATAACAGATTTTCTTCCCTCTTCTCCTGACATTCCTGGATTCCCGTCCCCACTCTCTCTGTTTTTCTCCTTTTTCCTCCTCTTCTTCCTCCAGGGAGTCAGTCTTCCAGTAGAAATGAAAAAAAGAAATATATATATATATATATACACACACACACATACACACAAATGTTAAACAGGGACCCAGCACAGTACCTCACATTCAGTGAGGGCTGAATACATATTTGATGACTGAATAATCCAAAGAAATGAATTACTAATGGTGAAATGTCAGGCTGTGGATATCTAGGAGAGAGCATTTAGGGACAGGGGCTCTTCCCTGGGGGCGTAACTAGCCTTGAGTCCAGCCCTGGGCTGAGGCATCCCGAGCCTGTTGACACATCTCTGGACAGGGTATCTGAGGGAAGTTGGGGGTCTTCCTTTCCCCTTCCCAAGGTGGGCAGGCAGAGGGAGTCCCATTCACTGACCCCCCCCATTCA